TAGAGACATTAAGTATTTTTTTTTTTTTTTTTTTTTTTTTTTTTTTTTTTTGAAGCAGGCAAGATGAAAAATGAGCAACCGCCTTCGCCGGGAATCGAACCACGGACCTCTGGAATACCAGTCCAGCGTGCAGAACCACTACACCACGAAGGCACGCTAGGAAGGCGGGAAAAATATCTTATAACCTGACACCAACCATCAATCAAAATAACTGTCAACATTTTGCCTTATCACTTCATGCCTGAATACAAGCCAACAATACCTTCAAATGAAGGTCCTACAAACCTTCAGAATGTTATTTATACATCCTCTTGCAAACTTCCTATGAAGGCAAATGGCAATACATAAAATCATGCATATTTCAAATTCTATAATATTTAAAGAAAAATTCAAAAGAAATCCAAGATCTTTGCATGACATAAAATGTCAAATATTTGAAGCAAATAATGGTGAATTTTACTTTCCAGTATATTTTTTATTACATGAATAAGGTTTTTGACTTTAAAATGCTACACATAGTAGTTAAAAAGTAATCACTTGCAAATATGAAATTTTTCTTAATGTCTTATGGACCTATTAGCTAAATCCTAACTAAAAAGTAATTTAATTGTTATGAAAATATGGTTTAATCTCAATATTTATGCGACGAAAGGTAAGCAATATTTTAAGGGTGCAATAAGCTAATGAATATACCAAGTGCATAAATTAATTATATAATTACTACCTTTTTACATTCATAAGAAAACAGGTATATTGTAGATCAGATACCGTTAGTAACCATTAGTAGTGTAAATGACAATAAACATTATCAGCCCAAAGGGCGTTAGCCCAGAAGGGCTATTAATTTCGTTTTGGAATTATGTGGTTTTTCACTATAAACAGTCTTTAACTTTTCAAATTGTTGCCACCAAATATTATAGCCCTGAGCCATCAAATTTTGAATAACGTACCTCTCCACCCGAATCTGAAACTCAAAATTTGGAATTTGCTTTATTATCTCTTTCATAGTTAGTAAAGCATTTGCAAGTTTTTGATTAAGAAACTCAACGATTTCAAAGCGAATGAGGGCAACACTGTACGACAAAAAAATATTTTTACCGTCAGCGTGCGAGACTGTGTATCGAAAATTCTAGAGATGCGCTCCTTTAAAATTATCTTGTGATATTGCTGTTGAATTGAATTTTATGGTTTAAGTGCGAAAAACCTGACATTTAATAAGGTAACACACAAAACGTTAAAAAAAAAAAAAAAAAAAAAAAAAAAAAACTTCTTTGGGGCATAATGTAAAATCTGAAAGCTTTCAGAATTTTTTTTTTTTTTTGCTATTTTTAATTATATACAATTTACAATACTAATGTAAATGTTTTATTGCTGGTATTTATAGAAATTAGTAAGAAATATTTCAAGTTATGGTACATTGTGCCCCTCCAAAAAAATGTGACAGTTTTGCATCTCCCGTTCTACTGGGTCAATTGATGAAATTCAAATTAAGTGTTTCATATCTCGAAAGCGCGACTTAGGATATACATTAAATTTATATATAGCATCATTCTAACATAGGTATTTTGGCACAAAATCGGACTTTTTTTAAATGGCATGACAATATTTTTCCATATTTCGATTCTACGACTCAAATTACGCCTTAATATTAAATTTTGTAAAATCTAGTGCCAAATTTACGGAGAAATTCAAACATTTATCTTTGCGTATTTTTTTCAGTTTTTGCCAAGAATAATTTACTTGGCGAACTTCTTAATTTATAGCAACCTATTTTCTTTTTATTTTTTTTTCACTGTAGATGAGCGGGAAAAAATCATATTTTGCGTACTTTCAAATATTTTAACAAAGCGCGTATTATCATTTGACACTTTTATCGCTCAGAAAAATATGCCAAATTTTAAAACGCTCCAATATGTAAGTTCATGTATATCTTAGAAAATTTTGAATAAAAAACTAATTTCTTGCAGGTGTGCCTAGAAATAAATTTACTTTAAGAAGATGTTAAACATTTTAGAGGTTATAATACAAAATGTTTTTCGAAAAAATTTATAAAAAATATTGAAAATTACGAATTAAAAAAATTAATCATAAAAAATGGGCGAATTGTATTTGGATTAAGCCTAAATTTCGAATTCTGGTAGAAGGAATCAAGTCAGCTTAATAATAAAAAAGAGATATTAATAAATATATATCAAATTCAATTAACATTGTGCAGCTAAAATTTTGATAGCTACTTTTTTAAAAACTACTCGTGCGATTCTTACAAAACTCGTCAGTTTGGCATAATTTGAGTCATAGAATCAAAAAATTGCATATCATTTCAGAAAAACTTAGATTTTGTGTCAAAATGCCTATATTAGAAAAATGCTATATATAAATCTAATACATATCCTAAGCCGAGCTTTCGAGACATGAAAAAAGCAATTCGAATTTCGTCAGTTGGTCCAGTAGAACGAGAGATACAGAACTGTCCCACTGGTGTTTTTTTATCCAAAAGGGCTTTGTTCCTGAAGGACTATTGTTTTCGTTTTGCGATTTTGCGTCGAATCACTATAAATGTCCGTTTCACTTTTCAAATTGTTGACATCAAATGTTAGAGTCCTGCATTTTATTTGAAGAAATTAAATAATGAAGAATCTGCATAAATGTATGTATGTTTCTCGCATTGTGATAAAACAACGGTACCTAGAGCCATCCAATTTTGCATGACGTAATCCTACTGCGAATGTGGGCATCTGAAAGCCCAAATTTGAAATTTGGAATTTGTTTTATTATCGATTTCATATTTTGTAAAACTTTAACAAATTTTTGATTAACAAACTCAACGATTTTAAAGCGAGCAATACCAACACTGTATTAAGGGGGGGGATATTGCTATAATTTGAAAGAAAGTTAAATTATATGAAGTGAATTATATTATGCTATTATTTGAAAGAAAGTGAATTATATAAACGATTTAAATACATCCCGGACATAACTTGCTCAAATGTTCAGCAAATTTATCACCAGATTTTTCATTAGAAATTTATTAGCAAATATGTCACTACGTATTGCTACATAATTAGAAAAGAAATTAAAAATCTTATGCCCAGAAATTGATAAAAAATGCGCAGTTTGTGAGGTTAGTGAATGAAATGCGAAGCAGTGTAAAATAACATAACAAGGAATGAAGCAAAAATTGTAAGACAAGTATTTAAAGATGTTCTTTAAAGACATAAGACAATTCCGATTTTATAGCATGAGGTAATATTTTTCGTGCATTATCAGCAACGATTCAAATACATCCCGGACACGGAATCATCGTCTTCAAAAGAAGAGAAATGGGCTACTAAGCATCATAATACCCACTTAATTGATATTCTTTCTGAAATTCGCAGGTGTCTTTTGCAGGTGTGAAAATGATATCAGCACTTGCTGTGGAGTAGTAACGGAACCCCATAAATCTCAAATTGTCACTCCATTTGACAGGTCCGAGATAGCATCAGCCGTCACTTATTTACTCGCTGCAGAAAAGTGGAAAACAGCGGTAGCCATATTGGTTTTCCGATAAGCAAATTGCTTTATAACCTCTAGAGAATTCCAACTCAATATTTAACTGGTATGTTTGGCAACAAGAGAAACCAAGAAATGGCTGCAAACGATAACTAAATTTTGTACCGTATTTACATTGCGATTAAGCCTAAGGTGTTACTGTAACTTCAAGAGAAAAATATACCACGTGCAAATTTTCACAAGATAAGTTATATTTAAGGCGGAACATTTTAAGTATTCCAGAATTTAATGTTAAAATAAATTCTTTTCCAATAAAGCTTTTATTTGTAAACATTCCAGAAAAGAATTTTCTTGCTGAATTTTCAAGTACTACTGATGGTTTAGATATGAGTTTTGCATACCTCACAATTCTAAAAAATAATTGGGAAAAAAAGCCTTTTATTATAAATGCTCTGTTTAAATTAGTTTTTTTCTTAAATGAAGAGAACAGTTTTCAAACATGAATTTTTCCATGGATGAAAGAGCAAAAACGAACTCACTTGTGTCATTAAGTGTAACTGTATCATCGTGCAAGTAAAATTCATATTTTGACAAGAAGCAACATTTTTGTACCTGTTATGGATTATCGCAGTCGATTCTGTTTAACAGAGCAATCTGTTAGCTAAAACCATAGTTGGTTAAGAAGTAAACAGTTTCATTGTTTATTCAAGTTCTTGTAATTTAAGAATATTATATGGCTTTCCTTTTAGTAGAATTAATTTTTTGTTATTAGAATTAATTCAAATTTTTCTCTTATTTTTAAAACAACGTCATAAATCTAGTGCCCTTTATAAATATTTTGAATTTTTATTCTATTTGGAATTTTGAATAGAACATTTCTGATTTAGGAAAAATCTGCACCAAACACAAAGATTTTGCTTTGCCTAATTTTACGTTGTACTTTGGCGTGTTTCTCTTCTCTTTTGATATACTTAAGCATTTTAAAAGAAGCATATTTATTCAGGGTAATAAAGGAGTGCAATTAACAGCCCATAAAAAGGCAGAGATTGATCGTAAGGAAAATTTAGTTAAAAACTCTTTCTTCTCATCGCTTTCCCGCAGAATGTGAGCACGAGAGGCTGATAAAAACTACTTTGAATAGGGCCTCAGAGTTCAGACTTCTTAAGCAGATCCTGCATTTATAGATCTCCTTTATTTCTTAATTTTTTTAGCTTGCAAATTAATTCATTCTAAAGAGAAATATCTTAGGACGAATTTAAAAGTAAATGTTTTCTGGATCATATATTCAGTGAAGTTTCAATATAATATTTTGGAGAAAAGCATTAAGAAATTCGAATTATGTCTACTACGTACTTACAGATATCATGTTTTGAATTTTAGACTAAATCTAAACAAGAATTAAATTTGAAATTTATATTTCAGAACTATGTTGCACATTTTGATTCCTTGAAATTGGATTTGGAAATTATCCAAGTTTTACCATTACGATATTCTTTTTTTTTTTTCAGGTCAAGGCCAGCCGAGTGTATTAGGTAAAACACGTCGCCCTAGGACCGCTTTTACCAGCCAGCAACTTTTGGAACTGGAGAACCAATTTCGCATGAACAAGTACCTTTCCAGGCCCAAAAGGTTCGAAGTTGCTACTAACCTCATGCTCACTGAAACCCAGGTAGCCTTAAAAGTTTATAAATATTTCTTCTAATACTACATTTCCCTCTCGCTTTAAAATTAAGCCTTCATATATTTAAAATGTTAAATTAAAGCAAATATTTAGAATGTCATATTTAATGCCTTTTATTTTTTATGCATCTCCATTTTGCATCGTAGAATATACCAATCGATCGAAAAAGAGATCCCAGCTAGATTTTCCTCTTCGCAGAAAATAATAGAAGGCATGTCATCACGTGTCATACCAGTTATTCCTACATAGAACTGTGTTTTTAATTAGTTAAACTACTATACCTAAAAATTATCTAGCTTTTGTTTACGTTCGAAAGCGCACTTAAGAGTTAACAAAATAAAGTATCAAAAATTGCTAAAAATTAAAATGCAAACGATTTAATTTTAATGACATATAATATTTTTATATAATAATACACTTATTGAAGTTAAAATAAAGAAAATGTAAATATATTGGTAAAACCCAAACTTTATTACATTTACTACGTAATGAGTAAAAAGGAGAACTCATAATTCATTGAAAATACTTAAAGCAAGTGAAATGCTTGTAGGGTTTATATTTATTTTAACTAACATTTATTTTAAGTTTAAATTTTAACTATCTTTCCTGTCAAGCCTTACTTTCCCCTGGAATTGCCAATGCCAGAGTATGTATTTGTAATTTTAGTAGTAAGAACGCGCAAAGTATTCAAAATTGTCAGCGAGAAGATCTGAGTTAAATAGAAGGGAAACGAGTTCGAAAGTGTGCTTTCTTGCTTAACCGAGCGTGGAGGTGGTGGCTAGGTAGAAATTGAAGAACCACGCTTTTCGGCCTGTGTGTGCTGCCTCGGTAGATAGTTAAATCTTTCAACGTAATATTCAGAAGTTTGCTGAATTGTCAGCGGTATCTTAGAACGTGGTTAGGTTAGTTACGTTTTTAGAGAGCCTCGTAGGTAGTCACTTGTTTATTATTCATTTTTTAGTTTCTTATTTTTATTTTAAAACCGCCGGGTCGGCGTAGTTTTGTGAGCGTCAAGAGCACGCATCTGTAATTTCTAAAGTTGAATAAAAAGGGATTTAAACCCTTCTCAAGACTTTGTGTACTTTCCAGTTCATAGCAGTCACCACTATTGTTGCGTGCAGGTTGGGAGCGCGAACATTACATACTTTAAATTCAAGTAACTCCCGCTAAGTGGCTACAGCTTTAGGAAATCCAAGATTTAAAAATAATATGAAAGATAAAAGATGATTTGTATCAATATTTCTTATAGTAATTGCTTCATTTTAAATAAAGAAAAATTAAAACGCATTTTAAGAGCACAATTCCAAAAGTGATCGTAATTCTACCATGTTTTTAATGCAATAGTCTTTTATAAATTCTATCTTAATCATTTTACAGTAATTTAAATGACATACGAGTGCCGAAGACGAAATATTAGAAATCTTATGAAAAAACTGTCACTATCTCTAACTATAAAATAATTCTAAAAGAGCAAACAAAAACAAAAAATCTAGTATTTGGTAATTTCATTTGGCGGGTGGATGAAGACTTAAATAATGATTTTTAATTCAGCTTCCAGAAGAAACCATTACGACCATAGCTATTTTATTAGCCTGTTTAAAAGTAACTGTTTTTGAGCATAATTTTTGCTATATTATTTGATTCTTCAGACAGTAAACTTAGTAATACGAAGTCTTGCTTGCATCTTGAAATAAATGCCATTTTGGAAACTTAGTAAATGCTAAACGCAGGAGTAATGTTACTCTTTATAATACATTGCTATCGACCTCATATCTTACGGAAATTCCCACTCATTGCTGTGATTTTTGTTTAAAAACTGTCGTATCGTTAGGTAAAAATCTGTTGAGTTTTAGTAAAAAAATTTAAGTAACCTGAAGCAGTTATTCTATTATAAAAAGCATTTTCTGCCTTTATTTTATAACTGCAGGAAAAACTGTTTCACAGGTTTTGCACAGTATTTTGCATTCTTACTTCATATTCTCGTTCCATTTAATTATGTGTCGCTAAAGTTTGAGCAGAATAGTGTCTCGTTCTATACAATTAAAATGCATATGAAGTATAAATAAATTGAAAACAATAGTTTTTAAAAGCCTATCATTTTAATTTAATATTTAACAGATGAAAGAGTTTTCAAATAAACATTTCACCTGTTTAAATGACTGTAATTCCGGTGTATAACGCACATCGGTACCTATAATTTCAAACTACTTTTTTATTTTTAGGTATATTTGCCGTATATCGCGCACTCTTTTCTTTACGAAGAAACCTGAAAGATGCATGTGCGATGCGTTTATCTTTTGAAGTCATTCATTCGAAGATCTTTCCCAGGCTCTCGAACAATGGTATACTGAATTGACAGGCGATAAAGGGAACAATATGTATGTGGGGAAAACGCTTGAGAAGAAAAGAATTATACAAAATTCTTTACTTTTCAAGCATTTTACCCACACACATATTTAGAAGGTGGACACATCTTTGGAAGAAAGAAGGTGGGCTGTACACAAGAATGTTATTCCAGAGTTTCAAAAATGAAGGATATAATTTGGGTGAAGAATGCACTTCCAATCCGAATGAATTAGCGGAATTATTTTTCTCTTTCTGTGGTCATTTAAAGCCGTGATTTTGAAGGAAACGTTGAAGGCTCTAGTAAAGCGCAATTGCTTTAGTTGATCTAATGGCCCCTTCAGTAGCAAACAGGATTCCCGTCAAATGAAACAAACACACTGCAGGTTTCAAACGTAAAGTTATACAGTTTGGAAAAAAAAAAAAAAAAAAAAAAAAAAAAAAAAAAAAAAAAAAAAAAAAAAAAAAAAAAAAAACAAAAAAAAAAAAAAAAAAAAAAAAAAAAAAAATGGAAATCGTGCTGCAGCAAGGATATTGTTGGTGAAAGCTCCATACACGAGTAGAAGAAAAATAAAATCACAGTAATTAATATGCCAAAGAATAAGTATGCTTTTAGTAAAGTAGTAACGAAACGGTTTATATCAAAAGAAAGCGTTGCGGACTGATTCCTGGAAAACCACATAATGGTTTAGTTGGAATAAGAAACAGCGTTTATGTATTTGCCTTAAAGTGGGAAAAAAAGAGTGCAAGTGAAAGTATAAACTTGAAAGCAACTTTTGTTGGTGTAGTCGATTTATGGTACCGAACAATTTAGTTCTACATTTTTAATAAGAAGAAATTATTGAAATTATATAATACAAACATGGTAGGTATACCAAGTGGATTAACGCCATTAGTTCAGCTTTTATATTCGTGTATCAATAAATCATTCAAAGAAAATTTAAGACGACAGTAGAATATGTGACTACAAGAAAAGAAACAAAAATTTCGCAAAGGCTTCCGAAAGATTTGTAAAACAAACTGAAACATTTCCAGAAGTATGTTATTGACCTATGAAGGCCAAAAAAAATTTACTGTCACATATTGGAAAGAAAGGATGGATGGCCGAAAACGGTGTGAAAATGTTGATAAGAAATGTTTGCCATAAACGTCCTGTTGCCTTAAATAGTCTATAAAATCGCTTAGTTTGGAACATGTTCAGATCCCATCTAACGGATAATAAGAAGAAATTATTGAAATTATATAATAAAACTTAGTAGGTATACCAAGCGGATTAACGCCATTAGTTCAGCTTTTAGATTTGTGTATCAATAAACCATTCAAAGAAAATTTAAGACGACATTGGAATATGTGCATGTCAAACCGTTAAAAACCATTTACAAAAGAAGGTTTCATGCTTCATGCCAGTCTAGAAATATTGCGTGAGTAGGTAATAAAACGACGGAATGAAATTAAACCCGACATAATTCAGAAGTCATTTAAAATGTTTTATAGCCTAGATACAACCAAAGATGATTATTCATTTATGAATCAGAGTAATAGTGATAGTGAGGATGAAACAGAATTCTGTGATGTGTCTGAAGATATAGCGGAAGACGAATATGACGAACTTTTCATTTTATGCAATAATGGAAATTTTTAAGTTCGTAAGGTATATCACTTCTTTTAATAAACAGAAGTTAGATATATGTAGAAATCCAATTTCTGTGTGCTCAGCTCATCTTTTCCTTATTTTTAAATCTTTCCTTTTTATATTCGACATATAATGCGCATCTGTAAATTTCGAACTTATTTTTTGAATTTAAAGTGAATTTAAAGTCGGAGAATACGGCATTTTTATATAATAAATATTTTTAAAGCAAACGTAAGAATGAAATTTATTTTTTTGTGCACCAAATGAAAAAATAAATTACTTGAAAGGTAAATTTGTAAAATTATGATGGAATCTTGTACGAAAGTATCAAATTTTACTCAGTTTTATTTACATAACCACAGTTAACTCGAACTGGAATAAAAGTGACATTTGTTTTTCTCAGCAGCAAATATACCTTTCTAACAAGAAAAAGAATTTAAAACATAATATTTAAAGAATTTAAATATTATGTCATTTTAATTCAGAAAGATACTTCATTCAACAGTTAAAAATAATTTATTATCAATTCACCGATTATACGACAGAATGATAATCTGTCTAGTATTGCAGTGCATATACTGTTTTTACAATAAAATTAAATTTTGTATTAATTAAAGTAATACAAATAAAACCCTGTAGCACCGTTTATACTACAGAATGATAATCAGAATGATAATTTAGTTTACAGAGCAATTTTTTAAATGCTATTCAACACTCATAGTTCATTTTGTATAATTTGTATTGCAAATATTGTAACCCTAGTCCTTAACAAAAGATAAAATATGTGAAAGACATTCTCTGTAATCTTACCTAAATAACTTTAGTCTGGCCACTTTTGGTTTTACTCTCAGTTATTATACCTTCCGATATTTTAAACTTTTCATACAGTTCTTATTATTTAATTTATAAGAAGATTTTGCCTTCCCTCGTGAGTGCTCTCATGATGTAACTAGTGTTACACTCGAATACACACTCTAAAGTAGCTTACGTAATATAGTTAGAGATATTACCCTCTTAGAAGCAGGGAATAGGAAAGATTTAGTTATGTCTTCGGGGAGGGGGCTTAGGTTCGAAGCAAAGATCTTCCCATCGCTAGTTGAAGGTACAAATTTTACACCACGAAAATACTAACGGAATGCAACAATCATTTATAAGCTCTTGACTATCAGAAATCTAAAATGAAATAAGTTTTAGGCAATTTGCTACTCAGATAATGATCCAACCTCTCTTCTTTCCCCCTCTCAGTGACTTCAAATATCTGAAGTTTATTTTTTAAAACGATGTCTAATAGTATTTTTGATCTGGTTCAAATGTTGAAGACTGTCCAAGTATTATCTTTCACTAAATGTGGCACATCTAACTTGTCTCGCATTGTCATCAAATGCATAGGTTTTACTATTTACTGACCTTCTTTATTTATTGGTTGTGAAAAGCAGAAAATGAATGAAGCTTCGTTACGGCAAAAGAAACTCTAATAAGTACATTCTAAGAAAATTTAAACAGTGTTCGTTTAGTAAAAATGGAATCTGAGAATCCAAGAATAAACTTCTTCTTTCACCAGTACTTTACCACTAATAAAATAAAGGGCAATATTAAAAACATTGATTTATGAAATTTTCATAATTAACTACCTGAAATTGACATTTTTGAATATTTACATTTTCGTTTTGCAAAGTCATATTCTTAAAGTCAATATTGAGTTGCATCTGGTTTGCAGAGTTGTCAAAGAGCGTTTTTTCTCAGAAAATTGTCGGAGCTATCTCACTCATGATCAGTTGCCATACCAATAACCAAAGCCAGTCGAAAATAGGAGGCACTTATGTTGGCCTACTTTTCTTAATAATATGAAGCTCTTGAAAGAGTTAATTATTTGTAATTTGTTGGGGAATTTCTCATTTGATTCTCTGCCTATAACCAGTGCAAACTGTTTACTGAAGAAGGATGGTTTTGTGCTTCGTTTTTAATCAGTCTTTGCTACTACAAGATATAGTAGCTAACAACATTAGTATTGTTAACTAACATTAGTATTGTTAACTAACAACAGTTCAGTTGAAGCAAGGCTCCCAATTATGAAATGAACTCTCCCAAATATTATGTTGATTGCCAAATTTAAGGAAAGGAAAACAGGTAGATCGTAGGGAAACCATACCAATATTTAAATAATTTATTCAAACTGGAAGAAAATCGTGAGAAAGTTATTGCACATCATGATATAAGAATAACAATTTAAGTTAATTTTACTGATTCAGGAAGACTTATGGGAAGAGAAAACTGAAAAACAATAAAAACAGGAGTATCCTGTTTTCACAGAATCCCAGGATCTTAGCACATCTATATTTTAATCGATGTTGTTCTGTTACCAATAGTTTTATCAAATGAATTAACATTTTATTAGCCTTTATATCATCTATACTGCAGTAGATATAATGCTTAGAACTTATTAGGGTTTTGCCTTTAAAGCTCATCGAAAACATCAGCTTAGCAATCTCGTTCCTACATTGTTTGTATTTCGGTATTCTAAACGATATTCTATGAAATTAAATCTATTTAATTAGTCTCAGTTTCATAGAATATTACTCAGTGTATTTATATTTAAAGAATATACGTAGTAAATAAAATTCTATGAAATTAAGTCTGAGATACAGATGAAAACATGAGACGCATGTGCACAAAATTAGATTTCAAATTAAATAGATGATATGCATTTAAACTACTCATTTTTGTAGTCGAACAAGTGAAAATACAGCATTATGCTTTAATTATTCTCAAGTAATATAGTTAGCATGTGAACTCTTTATTAAAAGTGCCGCATTATTAGTACATAATTTAATTTGAACTCCCATTTCTTCGAACCAGCATTTAAATACAAATTATAACATACTATTTCTAAACATATACCATTATTATCATAAATATTTCATATGACGGTAGCATACCATTTAATTTAATCATTTAAATTATGCAGAAATAAACCTTGAATTTCTGAACACATTAATAACACTAGCATTCCTTTTATGTTCAATATCAAGCATTTTAAAACTCCTCTTTTTTAATGATTAAAATCTCAAAGATAATTGTGCACCACTTGAAAATTTAAATACCCTTATTCAGTCTCCTGTATAGAGAATGAATGACACAAGTTCAGCCGCTGACGAATTCTTAGAAAAAAAAATGACTTGAATCATGAATCGTTCAGAAACACAAAAGCTGGAAATAAGAGAGAGAAATAAACCAAAACCAAAATATTCAACCCGAAAATCAAGTCTCTAAAAGAGAAAAACGGGGTTGGCAGATAATGGCAAAAAATCCCGCATTTATTTTCTCCATGCTCCCAAAAAGCGCCGTCAATTTTGGCTCCCAAAGTAATTTAAAAAACAAATCAAGAAAAAAAGGGCGATAAAAGTGGAAGTTTTTTTTCCTCCAACATTTCCAACGATACCGCAAAAAGGAGAAGAGTTAGCTACATTAAGGGGAAGGGCTTTCTTTCTATTTTCCATGGTCACCGTCTCAATGTCTCCGAAACGATTCTTCCAATCGGCCGATTCCTCCCCCGAGAGGACATCCCTCTCCCCAACCTCTCTCTCCAAGAAAAAGAGCTGCAAGTCAGGAGCTTCGCAATCATCCACAGGGTGAGGCAATAACAACTCTCGGACGAGGGGAATTGTAATAAATTGGACGTTTTGGGCGAATAAAATTGCGGCGGCTTTCGCTGACTTCTGATTAGGCTAACTACAAGTAAATTAGAGAGATTGATTGTCAGAGACTCCAGAGGCACTTCTTCGCACAGACAAAGGCCTCGGCAATGATAATTAGCGAGCCAACGGCGCCGCTTCATTTAATTATGCGCCATCTTTCCTTTCTCTTCTTCTTTTCCAATCGACGCCATCTTCGGAAAAGAGGGACCATCCACCAGATAATTCTTTGTATTCAGATCCTTATTCTTAATGAAGGGGTGGAATCAAGCAAAATTAGATGAAAAACTAAAATTTATAAATGTTGAAAATTTTTCGTGTGTTCATGTAGTTTCTATTTTTCACGGTTCCTATTTTTAAAAAATAATCACATTCTTAATGATAAAAGGTAATCTCTTACTGCTTTCCTTGCACATATTAAACGATCTTTCTTATTTCTAGCATCCTCTCCTACTTTTTCTGTATTATTCTAAAATTTATATTGATTCAGAATATCGAATGTTTTTGTTACCCTGTAACGTTTATTCTAAGTTTATAACAGTTATTTTTAAGTTTATGCACCTTTTCTGTCTCTTCTAATTTCAGCTTACAATTCCTTATCAGAATGAGTTTTTAGAATCGTGTTAAATGCAAATGAGAAGGAGTAGCATTTAAGTCGAAGTTCAACTGTCTTCGAGAGTTGAACTGTCTTCAAGAGTATCAGAATTTCTGAATAGCGCACGCTTGCCTTTTCGGCTATGTCTCTAAGTTGTTACTACGCTCCGCCGTATGCCCTCGATAGCTTCGCTACCTAATTTAATATTAGGGGCCAGCTAGTTAGAATTGTGTTAGTTTCGGCTAAATCTCTTTAGTTAGTCATTATTTAAGTTCTTATTTCTTATATTTTTGAGTTTAAGCCCAAGTGGAGGCTCTTTGTTGTATGTCCTGAGAAAGGGACCGTCTGTACACCTTTAGTTTGAGCAATAAAGGGTAATTAACCTTCTTCAGTTCTCGTTTCTGTTTCTGGACTTAAGCGATTTTTCACTTAGTAGTAGTTCACTAGGTTCCTCCACACTTAGTTAATAGATAAAAGAGATGAACATTGCAACCTAGAGCTACAGTTTACTGTTACTATATCCTTGTAGAAATTCAGCAACGAACTTATAAAAGGATATCTAGCCACGAAGAAGATTTAATATCTGAAATGGAATACTTGTTTAGTGATTACTGGGAAAACTCTTTTTGAGAAAAATTAATATAAAAGCCAAGTTCAGGAAAGATGGAGAAAGGAGTTAGAAAGATGAATCTGCTTTTTAAGGTGGAAAAGCTTGAGTAGTATGTAAAATAATACGTGGAGATGGATATATATTTCAGCTCAGTTTCTATTATATTAAAATTTTTCTTTTGTTACTTTTCATTGAGGAACATTCTTAAAACATTATTATTTTATGACAATGAATTTTCTGTGTTTCCTTAATAATTCTTTTGCAGATTTTTTGTTATAAAACTTCATTAAAAGTGTATCATAGACGATGACGATGATTCTCTTGTTTTATGCAAACAGGTAAATTTTAGAATATTACAGAGCAAATATTCATCTATTCTTGAAAGGCGGATAGTATTATTAAATATAATTAATTTAAAATATGAAAAAAAATGCATCTGAATTCTGAAAACCATTCCAAATTGCGATTAATGAGTTTTTAATATTGCAGGTGAAAATATGGTTCCAAAACAGGAGAATGAAGTGGAAAAGAAGCAAAAAAGCACAGCAAGAATCTAAATCTCGGACAGATTCTGATACAACAAACAAGAATTCATCTAGCCGTCCCCCAGATGGCGTTGTTGTTATGGAACACACAAAGAGGACCACTTCCGACGAAGAAGAAGAGCACGATGTTCCTTCATCGCCATTTTGCGATTCTTCGGACCGAATTTTGAATTCCGATCACCTACCCGTAGGAATCTGCCACGCGCAAATCGACATCAATGGCGAATGCAGCGACACTAGTTCTCATGGACCTTGCCCTTCACCTAAAGACACAATTTATAGGCCGTATATCGGCTAGCATTGATCGCGATAAATATATGGGGTGAATCACATGGGAAAAAACAATCTAGCAATTCAGTTCATCTGTCGGGGGCTTTTGATGTCTGAGTACAGACTCCAGCATTAACAAAAGTTTTCTAGTATGTGAAATTAAAGCAGCAAGTTGTTACTCATCGAAAAAGCTGCCAAAATGATTTAGTATTTTCATGAGAATTACGTGTCATTCTGGATTATTCAGAAGAACATCAGAAACTATGCTACTATGATCCTCATTCACAAAAATGTTTTGTATTAGAATGTCTGTAATATTTGTAAAATGATTTCCTAACATTCATCTGACAGCGGTATCATATGAGTAATTCTCGAAGTTATTAAAACGCCTTCTAACGAGCTTGTATCACAACCTCGACTTAGAAAAACTTAAATGTAATGATGTAAAATGTATATCTACTAGTTATTTAGAAATGAAATGCCAGAAGAAAGCAATAAACTAAATTAAATATTACGGTTGCAAAAGAAGACAAAAAAAAGCAAAAATGTTTTAGTCATCATATTATTCTCTTTGTTTTATTACATTAATTCTAAAAGAACGCATTTATTCAGTTGGTCATCAAGAAGTCATACGTATATTATACGCTAGTCATCATATGTATATTTATCCTTTTCTTTTACATATATTTTGAAAGATAAATTGAATTCCAGATAATTCTATGAAACTTGGGAACTTGAAATTAAAACGGAAGTTTTAATTTCATAAAAATATATTTCTGTTGTATGCTGTTATACAGGATTTACATAATCTTACATATTTTAAGGTTGTGTAATTAATTTCTATCAATCTAAACTACGGTCTATTGCAAAAGAAGCGTATATGTTAGACTTATATTTATAATTAAAATTTTACATGAAAAAATAAATGTCTATAAAATTAATTTTCAAAAACTTGTTTAGGTTAACGTAACTTCATCTTGGAATTTACTTTTCCGATTTCTTTCTGTTTAAGGAAAAAGTAATAATAATTAAGTCTTATTTCACTGGAATGAATCATGTTGACTTCCTTAAATTTTAATAACAAGACAAAAGTATTCAGTTTTGAAGAACAGTTTCAATTTTTTTTTAAAATCTTGAATCTTTAATATGCAATTCTATTAAAATATCCTAAGGAAAGCAAGAATGCATACTGCATGATATTTTTTGAAATTACATCATAAATTGTTATGCAGAACAGTGAAAGGTAATTAAGTTAAAAATTTTCTATAAAAATATTGCAGTTTCGTTATAAATAGTTTTGAGATTTCATATAATCCAAAATTTCAGTCCATTTAATTCTTAAAGTATTCGAATGAAAGATTTTATGATAAAACTAATCTCATTGGTGAGTGGCAAAATATGTTCCAAATAATTTTACAAAATAATTTTGAGTATAATTGCCATTCAAAGATCTTTACGTTTTAAGACTTGAAATATGTGTGATTAGTAGCTATAAGAAAGGTACAGAATTAAATTAAGAAATTTTATCACTGAGAGAAAAATTGAAGTTTGTAAACCATGAAAGAAAAAACTGTCCTTTTTTCCAGAATGGGGGAATTCGAGAGCTAATTTTTTAAAACTCTTCAGCCTTTGGGTTTTGACTATGTACTGGTATGTACTATGTAAGTTGAACACTCCAAATGTATTTACGGGTAAAATGCATGTGTCATTGTTAAAAATGGGTAAATAATCGCCGGAATCACCGAAAATGTACTGAAAACATATAATTATTTTAATCCGAAATAGTAATTTCAGACAACAATAAAACTTTCTTGGATATGGATTCAAAATAAGGAATGGAAGTTGACATTTAATATGTATTTGATCAGACTGTAAAAAATAGTCATCTTTTTGAAAGTATAAATACGTGTAAAGAGAGCTGCAGTACATTTTACATATTGAGAAGCGCGCAATATCAGTTATAAATTACATTGCAAGATGTTTTTGAGTAATATCTCATAAACGATCATGAAGTTCACTTGTAAATAGTGTATACATTGTGTGAAAAATATTAAATATAAAAAATTGTACTTAATATGTCTCCTTTTCTTTTATTATTTTGTCATGTTTGATGATTTCACATCTGATGATTTCACACTTGTATCAAAAAGCGAAATTCCTTATTCCATTTCACAAAGACCACACATAATCATCACATTAAAACTACTTAAAATGCACATAAATGTAGAAATTTATAATTTACTTTGCAACTGGGTGAATACAAAAAAGTCTTATTTCAAGTTTCAATCTTTATTATTCGAAAGTAAAATTTGTAATTCTACATTAACTGATAGTAGCAATCCTCACTGATTTGGGAATATACCGATGTACCTGTGACTCGATGACAAATATGATTGCCAACGAAATAAATCTTTATCTACGTCAGAAAATGTAATTCCACGTGTTTTTAAATCCTTCAGTATGAATTTCATTGTAAACTCACTGCACTGAGTAAAATATACGGACACCTCCAGTCTGCTTTATTTCTTTGTCGGAAAGCTTTTTCGAAAAAAAATTAGTTTGTATTGCTTTACAATATCTCCTTGCAAATAAAGTTTAAAATAAATAACATTCAAATGCCTGAAATGCGTATGCGAATTAGATTCAGAAAATATCCTCTACCAACCTCCATCTGTCTATCAGTTTGTGTCTTCTCGTATCTAATAGAGATTTCCTCTTCTGAAAATATTCAGAAGTACAGTTACTACTGGTCATGAGATTTTACAATTAAAAGTTCGCAAAAGAAATCCACTTTATTTTCGGAATGGCTCATTTTGTTTTTAACTAATGACAGTCACATGAAGCTTTCTGTTGAAAGTCCAAATGCGACAGAAATTTTTTATGTCAAACTCAGCCAAGGAGGCCAATTTAACAACAGAAGCATTCTAATTTTCCAAAATCAGATGCTCTTAAAACTGAAATTTAGAATAACAAATAATACAGGACTCGAAATACAGTTTCAGCATTTGACAAATGCCTACTCACTAATGAAGCGAGCATTCTGAAAAGAATCGCAAGACACAACTCAGGCAATGTTGTTTCTGTTGTTTCAAATGGCCGGTCGCTTGAGACTTATTTCACTCGGCAAGAACAGTCAGTACTCTTTTGTCATTTAGCCGTCTCATCAGCGAGAACTTTGCCCACGGTGACTCATACAAAAGCAGAATATTTGGATATATTGAATTATACAAAAGCACATTAGGACTATCTGCTTAAAGGATGAAACGCCTTTGTGGAGTAACGTTTCAAGAACTGGTTCATATCTACGTTATACATTAGGAAAATCCCGAGAATCTCATGTAGCCAGCTCGTTGGGTCTGTCGAAATACCAGTGTTCAGCGACTTCAGCTCTGGCACTGGTGCCAGTTCAGCAGGGAAATTGCGGTAGATGTCTTCCTGTTTCCGCGGTTGTCAAAATCATTCCTGTTTCCACGAAATCATCAATCTTCATTACCCCCTTCCCAAAGGGGTTACATAGTGGGGGGCCGAGGGGACCTTGTCCTCTTCCCAAAAGTAGGAAAGCAAAATTTTTTTTTTTTAATTTAAAAAGAAGAATTTTTAAAAGAAATAATCGAAAAATATTTACGATCTCAGATCTTTGCATGAATGAAGATAATACTGTATTTAAAAGGAGACAGAGAGATGTTCAAACTCTGCGATAAATTTTGACAGTGAACCAATTGATCCCTATAGTAAAAAATCTGATGTGTTCACCATATGACTTCCTTGTACGGAATATTAAATTATACGCATTTTTTCTTGCATTTCATTTAAACTTATTGGATTGAATTAAATCTACTTCGCCGACAGCGCATAAACCACAATAGAATAAATGCATTCTTTAAAATTCACTCTAGTATTTGTTTACCATAGCGACACTCTGGCGCTAGATTCACTTAACAGTATTACATTTCGTTCATATTATAACTCATAATGCACAAAATTTATATCATTTAAAGAATAGAATTATCTAATCGTTGCCACATGTTCTATTCAAATACTATAATAAAGCTAGAATGATGATGTATAAAAGAAATTAAGCAAACAAAACAAAAAAGAAACAGTTTTTCACAGACGACGATTGAGTATTTCTCATTCAATTAATTCAGTTCTCACTTCGTGAGAAGGCAAAAATACATAAAAACTCAAAATATCTATATTAAAAATTACTTAAATTAAATTAAATCTTAAACACTTATTTCCTCGAAAAAATTCTACAAAGGATTAAGCATGATTTAATTGGCAATAATAAATGAAGGCGTTATATTTGTTGTTGCGAAGCTAAGTTTCTCTAGATTGGCAACAAATCCACTAGTCTGCTGTTTCAAATGTAAACAATCAATGGCCGCCATAAAAAAAAAAAATGCTTAGCGGCACTTAAACAACTTTAAAATTGTTGATAATTCTAAGAATATTGCATACAGATTTACTAAAGGCATAAGAGCCTTAACCAGAAGAGAAAAACCATATAATTCAATCATTTTTAAAGCAAAAAAATGTACAATTTACAAATATATAAGAGTAAAGAAACTGAGATCACTGAGTCGGGTAACAGAGTGGGCATATATATAAATATATTTATATACGTTTGGTGATTGCAACCAAATACGAGGTGCACATCTACATGTTATAGCAGTCCTATATACAAAATTTCAACGTTCTGAGGCTAATCGTTTTTGAGTTATGCGAGATACGTACATACGTTCGTACAGACGCCACGAAATATTCTCTTCAGAATTAATTTTAAAACAGTTTTATAATTTTTCTGGTGGAAACAAGTCTTTTATTCTGTCCTTACGTATAGATATCACGCAAAAACATCGTTAAATTGCATTCCATAGCGACCAAAATGGGATATATTCGTTGAAATATGCTGCCTGAAACTTTTCGCGATTACAATACTTCCTTTTTATTTCGTACAAGGAAGTAAAAACAATATTCTTCCAAAATTCTGCATACAGGCGAGTTATAATAAAAATCTTTCAGAGTAAATATTCATTCTGAAACGACGTTCTTTCTTCTAAACCGACGACTTCTTTGGTCTTAATTGCGCTTTTGTAGCTTTTAATTCTGTCATTTATGCAAGTCCAATAAACTACATTTTCCTTATTTTTATTCTGAATTCGATACAGATAACCTTTATAAAGAGCTAAAGGTTTTTTTTCCTTTTAATTTCAATAATGTCTAAAATATTCATATTGATTAATATAAGATGTGAAAATAACAGCTAATATTGTAGCAGAATTACAAATGGAATGAAACTTAAGTTTTCAATAGGAACCTAAACTAAGGCACGTCTTCAATCTAACGAAGACAAGGGATAAATATAATATTCTTCTAAGTCCTCACGAAGACTAATTTATTCACAAAGAAACTGTCCAGCTCTTCTTAATGACTCATCAGGACATCTTCTGAGGAGCTGTGGGAGGGGTACTGTACTTTCCGATTTCGCGAGAACAGGAAGAATTTTGAAAAAGGCGAAAAGAGGAATCTCGAAAACAGAGCTAATTCTCGCGGTAAACTCTCTCAGAAACACTGGTATCTCCCTAAGACGACCAGTGTTTATGATAACAGAAGTAATCATACGTTTTATTCCTTATCTAAGATGATCCACGCAAGGTTAAAATGCGATAGAATCTTGAGTGGTCGCTTTAAAGAGGATTTGCCGGTTGTTATTTTAAACGCTCGTAAAAGAATCAATCATATATTTCTGATTCCAAAAACGTTTTCGAAACTGTGGATGTTAGATATATCATCGGTTATTCTTTAAGGGGCTGTGTACATTTCTAAATTTAATTTTGTATAAATTTACATTTTTGCTAAATATTAATATATAGGTAACATTGTGAACAGAGATAAAGAAAGACAGTTATGAGGGCGTTTGTCAAAGAATCAGAAGCAACGGGGAATCAATGAAATAGATTTCAAAAAGTGGGATTGGTCAAAAGCACAATACTTTCAATCGTCAAACCGATTTAATTTTATTTGTATAGCTTTTTCGTATTTCCTTCACTTCTTCGTATTTATATACTTATTTCATTATTTATACAAAATTAAGTTTCATTTCTTAAATGCATCAAATCGAAAAGCAATTTTGTATAATTTTCGTGTATAAAGACTGCACATTATATTTTTAAAGTTATTTTGGCAGATTGAAACATGTTTCTGTAAAACCTGCCTTAATGGTCCAAAATAGTATTTAGAAAATAAACGCACATAGCATAATTTGTTAAATAGATCGAAATTTATATAATCAAATAATTACTTAATTTTGGAAAATCATGTTCGTCAGATTCAACTTACTTTTCATTCTCAGGGACAAAATTTGAATTTAAGATGTTTTTATAGTACATATAATAGATGAGATGCGCCTTCTTGATCGAATACAGTGGCTTTCTCATCACTCGAATTATGACTTAATTTATACGCTGCTCGACATTGAAAATGCAACACCAAGAAGGAGTGGTCAGGAATTTATGCAAAATTTAGAATAGACGCACGTCACTAAATTATGCGAATGATGTGAAATGCGCAGCTCTCCGACGAACTTGAAGTACGATATAAGGGACGGAACGTGCAGAATGGACAATATTCGTGTTATTATTTCTGCCAGACGAATTATCGAAGAAAGCTGCTTTTTGTCCCGGAGGATACGTGTAATAGGAGAGAATGCCAGGCGGCCGTCAACGAAGGCATTTCCAGCCAGATAGACGATTTTACGAGGGGTATGGTGATTGGACTGAGAAGGGCAGCTGATACCCACATGGATGCAAGCACAGTGCATCAGCTATGGCGAACATGGTTGGAACAAGGAAATGTGGGAAGAAGGAGGGGTGCAGGTGCAGCCAGAGTGGCGTTAGCACGCTTGGATCGACGCATCAGCCGACAAGCTGTGACGGTCCCGCAAGTCACTTGTACCGCGATTCTGCAGCATGTGCAAGATACCCTTTAAAAGGCCCGTTCCCACTGGGGTTTATCTGAGCTAACGAACACAACTAACGTAGTCGACCCATCCCCAAAACCAGTTTTTCCC